GGTAATATGAAGAGGAACACGCCCTCACTACTCGGTAATATGAAGAGGAACACGCCCTCACTACTCGGTAATATGAAGAGGAACACGCCCTCACTACTCGGTACCCAGGCCTTTAAACAGGTTCAGACTCCTCCTGCTTATTCCGGGCTGATTTACATCCTCTATATTTATATAATCCCATTAGTTAGAAGCACAAACCCAGGTGAAGGTTCTTGCGGAGATCTTGCTAAGGTGAGCTTCTCCCAGAACTAACACATAAAACGAGGTCTGTGCTGGAAAGAGGGTCGAGCTTGTGAGAAGGTAAGCGGGGCTAAGCGAAGGTAAGCAGTACCAAGCGGTGCCACACGATGCTACACAGTACCAAGCGGTGCCACGCGGTGGTACGCGGGACTAAGCGGTGCCAAGCGGTGCTACATGGTACCAAGCGGTGCCACGCGGTGGTATGCGGGACTAAGCGGTGCCAAGCGGTGCTACACGGTACCAAGCGGTGCCACGCGGTGGTATGCGGGACTAAGCGGTGCCAAGCGGTGCTACACGGTACCAAGCGGTGCCACGCGGTGGTATGCGGGACTAAACGGTGCCAAGCGGTGCTATGTGATGCCAAGCGGTGGTACGCAGGGCTAAGCGGTGCCAAGCGATGCCAAGCGGTGGTACGCAGGACTAAGCGGTGCCAAGCGGTGCTACACGGTACGAAGCGGTGCCAAGCGGTGGTATGTGGGACTAAGCGGTGCCAAGCGGTGGTATGCGGGACTAAGCGGTGCCAAGCGGTGCGCCCCCTTCAGTACCCCGAAAACCACATCCCCCACCTTGTAGGCGGCTTTCAGGCCCCCATTATCGGCTATGTTCTCTCCCAGTGTATGGCGGCCGTTCAGGGGCTCCTGGTTTACGCTGTAGTTGCTGTACTGCTCCACCATGCATTGCGTTTGCCTCTTGAAGGCCTCCACTGATGAATTTTTCCACCAGGAGCGCAGGTTACCATCTTTGTCATACTCCCTCCCTGCCATGACACAAAAACACACTGAAGTCAGCCCAGGGGTCGCTTGCCTCTGCAACTTGGGATTTACATCATAAAGCCAGACTTCTTGCTCAGCTGGATAACGTGTTGGATATAAGGTAGTCTGGGGTCAATGGACTTCTTCACTTACCTTTAGCCCAGACTACCTTAAATCTGACAAATTATCCGGCTTAGCAGGAAATCCTGCCTTGTGATACAGGTCTCTGTTCAAACATTAATACGCTCATTTTCAAGGCCTTCAGGACACAGCCCATTACACCCCACTAGTGTGGAATGTTCTTTGTGTTACATATTTCCCCTTTGCGTACAGTGCATGAAGCATGCAGAGAAAGCATTTCTTTTAGGGTGATGACACAAACCAAAAAAAAGTCTGAAATGTCTGGGATCTCACTTTGTTTCAGTTTAACATTTGCTTTCTACATTCCGAACACTTTCTGTGTGCATGTCTGCGTCGCTTTGACGCCTCTCTTTGCGTCCCGCTCCTCATGTCTTCTTTTTTGCAAAGCAAAATATGGTCGCCTTAATTTCACTACACACACGTACAGTGCACGTTTGTGTATGCAACAAATAAAACTTGAAACTTGAATGTGCTCAACTTCCTCATGCATTAATCATCTGCTCATCGTCCAACAACAACTTCGTCACCTATTTGTCATGGAAACAAAGAGCCAAAGATCATTTGTTAATGTTGATCTGCTGGACTGATTCCGGAAGGCTTACCTTGGTCATCAAAGGCATGCGTCAGCTCATGGCCCATGACGACGCCAATCCCACCGAAATTCAAAGCCCTGAACAGACATTAAATCTTATAATCATCTGCATCAGCCACCATTTTATATTAGGACCACTGCTGTTAGCCATTTTACTTACATTTCATTTTCTTTTTCTACTAAACAGACTTCCTGGGAACTAAATAAGCAACCATTCCATTTGCTGTTCTAAGTCCTTTCCAGGACCTTTCCAGAAATGGACTTACTTGGGCCAGGCCTTGTTGTAGAACGGAGCCTGGAGTATCCCAGCCGGAAGGACCATCTCATTCTTGGTGGGGTTATAATATGCGTTTACTGTGGGCGGGGTCATGCTCCACCTATGAGGTCAGGCGTAGCAGAAGGAAGATTCTTGGCACACATGCAGCAAATGGTAAATACTATTCCTGCACATACTAAACTGGGGAGCTGGGGGGGGGCAGTTACACCATTAAAATTTCTCATTTCTCAGCAATATCAAGTTTATTGCATTTTAGGCTTTTACCCAAAGTAAAAAGGGTTAAAAATTTCTCTCCCTGAAGCACTACACCACCTGCAGTCCATTTTAGCCTTCAGCAGACAAATGAAAGCAAGGTTCGATGTCTCTTTTGGCCAAACCCTACATTATCAATGCCCAAAATAAAGACTAAAATGCATTAACATTCACAGCTCTCTGATCTCGGTTTACAAATCCCTACACACCATCGCCGAACAGAATCAACCAACAGCTTTATTCAAAATAAAATCCAGCTCTTGGGAGATGGACCTGGTTTTGGGAACTCAACCAGTAGCGGAATCTCTTTTGTGCACTGGTGGACTGTGCAAACTCACTGGTCCTTATTGGGCGCCTTCCTCAGCTGGTCTGCGGTCACCCTGGCAGAGAAGTTGTAGTACTGCATGACGTTCTGGAAGTACAGGTCTGGCACCACCTCCAACTGCAGAGGAAAACCAGTTAGAGACTTTACCACCCTACTGCTCTCTCACAATGGGCTATTTTCTCTATAGTTTGCCATTTACATGTTATCTTGTACCTTGTTTAAATGGCCTTTTACAAAGACAATTAATCCCCACAAAACAACTTGTCCTGAATATGATTTTCAAAAGCAATAATCAATTTCTTACCTACTCTATAAGCATAAGACAAAAAAAAATTAATATTCAATTAAATATTCCACTCTGAAAACATGTACCTACATCACTGAATACTTTGTCAAGCTCAGTGGGATTCATGATGAACTTTGGATATCCTATCATGTTGTAAATAGCATCTGCCTAGAAAAAAAAAGAAATAATTATATATAATCAGTTGCATGATAGTAACACCAGGAGGCGCCAACAGGTTACATCAGCAAGCTACACCTTTTTTTCCCATAAGGAAATTACTCATAAGGCATCACTTCCTATAAAGTAAATGTCAAGATATAAGAGAAATACTCAGTTTCACTCTTTATTATTAGGAACATCAGAACTTGTTTCCAGTTTAAAGGGAAACGAAAAAAAGGACATAAAAAGTGGAAAGAGAAGCTTCTCTCCTACCTTTTCCTTTGCTGCCTTCTTGGTTTCAGCATCCATCCAGCCTACATACTGGAGACTGTCTTCAAAGGCCTGCTTGATCTCTGAAACCATGCTTTCTGCCTGAGACATGGGGAAAGAGCAATCAGCGCTGTCTACTGCCAGTTAGCCTTTAGCGGCTAAGTCACAGAGGAGCGGCGGGTCAGAGCCGGGGGTCGGGCTGATGCTCACGATGGCCTTGCTGTCATGGGCAAAGGTGGCTTTGACGAACAGGGCTCCGAGGGCGAAGCCTAGGGCGCTGTCGGTGTCGCTGACGCACACCTTCCAGCGAGGCGAGCAGCTCTGAAAGGCGACACGCCACAGATTAGCACCAACGCAGTATCCACGGTATCCACAGTATCCACAGTATCCACTCATTCTCACCCCATAGATCAGGCTCGGCATCAACTCCTATACTATATGGCTGAAAGTATGTGGACACACCTATTCACTGGGGATATGTGTAACCCCCCAGGTTACAAACAAGACCCATTCCCAAATTCTGTCCAAGTTCAATTTGTAGGTAAATCAGAAAAAAAACAACATATTAATAATAATAATAATAATAATAATAATAATAATAATAAAAAACAGCACATTAATAATAATTGATACTTTATTCATTAGAAATTGTCTTTACGCCTCCCTCAACTTGCTCTTTGTAGAGCAAGCTGTCCGCGAAGGGCAACCACCTGTAGCGGCGCCCAGGGAGCTGGGGGTTGAGGGTCTTGCTCAAGGACCCGCAGACGTGCTGAGGCTGGGTTTGAACCGGCGACCTTGTGATTACAGGCACATGCTGCCCCCATTACTATTATTAATTCATTATTATACCAGTAATAACAAAAGTAACTACATACATACTCTACTGTACCCTAAGCTGCCAAAACACTGAAGCCATGCAAAGTTTTCACGAGCATCGAAAAGTAGTGTCTGCATTTGTTATTACAGACTATTGTATTTAGGAAAGAATAAAGCCAAAGTATGAGTTGTCCTTCAGTCAGACATTCTCCACCCCGGGGGCTTCCAGTACAATTAAAAGCACACAGCCATTCAATGTCCAACAACAAAATACTGGCAGCAAAATGCTTCGTTATAGAGAAGGCCAGTTTGCCAAATTTCTGCCTTGGCCCAGCTGCGTGTGAATGGGAGGGTCTGGGAGCGAGTTCAGTCATTAAGTGGGAGGCCACAAACTCAAAGAAAAGGGACGGGGGGGTTCCATGAAGCAGGTTTTCTCCGCTTAAGCTAAAAGTCATGATTGACCACTAAGAGTTTAGGTTAAGGAGCATTCCTATTGGACAGTCATGGCATCTAGCTTAAGTTCACTTAGGTAACGGGAATCATGCTACGTGGAACATCTGCCTGATCACCCAGCACCAATACCCAACCTGAACGGCAGCAACTCCTACCGGGAATGGTCCATCTAATTCACAAAATTGTACAGGCTAATACAGCAACCGGAGGTGGACCGACTTCATATTACTACCCTTGTTTCAAAACGATATGTTGGGCAAACTGGTGTCCACATGCTTTTGTCCATATGGTGTATGCACAGTCCTGGCACTGTAACCAGCCACATGAGACTAGCAGCGATGCTCTTGCAGAATATCATACACGCTGATTTAACACTGAGGACACATATTAACCTCGCTACCTTTGCCATCGCAAAATCCCCATCAGCTGATACACCACACTCCCACCCAGCGCACAAACACCAACATATATTTTAGATTTTCATTGTGCTGTGACCTTTCCCCTGAATGAGGCCTTAATCTTTAGGATAAGTCACCTGCAATGTTTAGCATGGATTATTATTGCCTGCAGTTGTGTTGCGGACATGCATGCCATTAATATATAAAGGGTCACACAGCAGGAGCCTAGATCATCTACACATGGCTGGTGTGCTGCCTTTAAAATTACAATCTGTCAAACACGGTGTCCTGGTCTATTTCTGATTTGGTTTTGTGTAGAAGTTGTAAAGCAGCTGCGTGAAGAGCACCAGTAATGTGGCCTGAAAACTAAAGCCCTCTGTGATACGAGCCCCCCCCCACCCCCACCCTAAACTGGAACACAGCCAAACAATTTCAAAGTTGACCAAACCAGCATAGTGGGAATCCTGGTTCCAGGAGACTACAGCTAACCAAAAGTAGAATCTGTTTAATTACAGAGACAAATTAACTTTTGGCAGAATAAAATGCACTCAGTCTAGAGACTCCAGGTTAAGCTTTGGGACAAAGCCATACAGACAACAATCCAAGAGTCACTTGAAAGCACGTTCTGTCACAAGAGTCCTTCCTCTATTAAATCAGCAGGACTCTCCAATCTGGGCTCTCAACTTCCTCTCACAGAATCTCATATGTGTGGAGTCAAAACTGAGTACAGGAACTAGGATAAGCAAATCGAGGGTGGGTCATCACTGCATTCCTTGGTGTCTGCTCTCCATCCCCAGAAGCTCCCTGATCACCCATTGCTCACCTTCTTGGTTCCGTACATAACTTCAAAGAAACGCTGCTCAGCATCTTGGAACCTCTGGTCCAGGATGGAGACCATCTTTCTCACCACCTTCATTATCATGTAGTTGTTGAGGAGGCTGCGGAGAGGACCGATACCGAGTTGTAGAGCAGCCAACATCACCATGCTAGTCACTATATTCCACGAGATTTGTCTACATGCAAAGCAGGTGCTCTTAGACAGTATAACATGAACAGCAATAACCAGCTTTGCTACAGGAGCTATTCAGTAGATGTGCCTGTGTTTCAAGAATCAGGAATGGAGATCATGACTAGACGTTGTGCACCAGGTTGGCCTGAATCACATGGTTCATGAAGCACACATTACTCTTAATGCATGGGTGGGACACACTCTTTCTGTACATGAACGGGTTTGGATGCTTGGACAGAGTTGCGTGCATGTTAGGCAGGACTTGGTAAGATTCCTGCAACAAACTGCTTGTGTAGGATGATGTAATTCACAGTGGAATCCACTTGACTGAAGGACATCAGAGGGCGAAGCCACATTACTCCTCATGTTGCCTGACATAAGGAAGCGAGTCCAGCTTCACTGGCAGAGCCAGACGTAACAGGAGCAAAGCTCATGAGCGCATCCTGCGTCCGCCACCAAGGTCAGAGGGGAACTCTCCGGGACGGAAGTCGCATTTCATTCATTGAGCGAACATATGGCCACGAAAGGGGCCAGGATACGAGTCTGGCTGGGTGGGGGGGGTCTGGCTTGGGGGGGGGGGGGTATTCTCACGCAGTCATACTCTGGGGCAATTCAGAGGCACCGGTTTTCCTGAACTGCGTGTCTTTGGATGCCAGGAGGAAATCCGAGATCCCACAGGAAACCCACCAGGGAAACGTGGGAAAGGAGCAGGTACTGAGCCAGGGCTGGAGTCTCAGAGTTCAAAGACCGCCTCTGTGTCAGTGCTGAGTAGTCAATGGAGTTAAACATTATGTGGCTAAAACTAAAATTATGGAATACTCTGCCAAACAGCAAATTTTAGGAATATTATTCATGTAATATTCCTAAGATTAAGAGAGGTGATGAGTAGGGAACTATAATCATGCATTAGACCTTGCACATCCACAGCAAACCCATCAGATTTACAAGCTTGATGTCACCGGTGAAATAATTCAAATTAAAGCATCTTTAAGACTGAGGCCCATTTAGGATAATACAAAAAAAGGTGTGGAGTTCATGTATTTTACCGATGCACTATTCTTTTGGGTAGTACAGCCCGATCAGGTGACCATTGGACTCCCTTCAGAGATATTGCGGTGGTATTATTTTGGTACCAGTATTATATCCAATGCTACACTGCAGTAGTGCCCACGTGCTGCCAGTTAGAGAAGTTAACCATAGAGGGGGCTAAATATAATGTGCTGTGGAACAGGGGGTTCCTTGTGCTACCTCTTGTTGGTGTGGTTGATGAGGTTGGAGACTTTCTCCAGGTATTCCTTAGCATACACCACCACAGGCTCAGAGTCGTTTAACTCCACTGGCGCAAATACTTCTTTGAGAAAAGGCATCCATTCAATCGCGGGGGCCAGCGTCTGTAGAGAAGACAGAGTTATTAAAGCAGTCCCAAAAAATTTCACACCACCAGAACTTTTCTGGAACCAGAACCTTTTTCCAGAACCAGGGACATTTGTCGTGTTCAGACTGCAGGAACTCAGGAGGCCGTTCCAGAACCCTTTTTTAGTACCTGCTCCAGACTAGGAGCTTTTTGTTCAAACACAGACTACTGGAGAAGAGTTTACAGGGATAGCTAACTGACAACAAGCACCAACGCTAACTCAAGTCAAGCAGAAATAGATGCAACGGGGCATAAATTGAGCATATGGAGTTATTTTTGTACTCTAATTACATTTAATGCATCAATTAATACATTTTTTGCTTGAGTCTAGGGCTGCAGATATCGATCATTTTAGTAATCAAGTATTCTATCGATTATTCCATCGATTAGTCGAATAATCGGATAAGAAATACTTTTTGTCTTATTAAAGAGCAATAGTAACTATTTCAAACAGAAAAAACAGACAGATTTCTTAAAATGAACAACTTTTTGTTCCTTTTTAGGAACATTAAAGCTCCTGGTTCCTGTTGTGCAGTGTGAAAGCGACACACAAAACTGACCCGGAGCTACGAAAGTTCCAGGTCCAGACAGCCCAGGAACTCGTAAACCGGGACCAGGTTCTGGAACTCAGGCGTTAATGTAATGAAACCGCTTCTGTGCCTTGCAGTATACCATGGGAAAACGGCACGGTTTGAGGACCAAAGTTTAATCTGCAAGGTTTCTCCTTCATTACAAGTCTGAACTAAACATCAGCTGCCTTTTTGCAGCAGCTCTCAGCTTCCTCCCAGGCCTGCGGGCGGTCATGTGAAGCCAGCCGCACTCAGAATTACACACGACTCACCGCCAGCTCTTTCGCTCGGATCTTGTGGTAGATTAACTCCTCATCACGTCGCTCTTCCTGTGGCACAGTGATGTTGGCCAAAGTTGTCTCGAAGTCCACTATCTCTTGCATCAGCGCCCTCGAGGTTTCCTCAGACCCACCGAGCAAAATCCCCAGCTCCACCAAGAAGTCCAGGTAGGCTTTCAGATACTATGGGCAAATAACAGGAAGGAGCAGATGGTCACGGAGGATAAGGCAGGTTTATTTATCTCCAGTAAGGTTAGACAGTTGCTCTCCCATGTGGCTTCATTTAGACAGTTATGAGATTTGCGGTTAACAAAGCATCCAGATTCATGTTAGAAAATGCAATTAAGCGGGACGATTATAAAGGGAAAAAAAAAGAGAATCCTTAAAGCATCTAGGTCCCTTGGGAAGACCGCTTTGCAAAAAATGTCCAAACTGACCATAAATATGCCTAAAATGACATCCAAGTTTCTGAAAGCTTTAACCCCAATGAACATCTAAAATTCTCCACAGACCTTCTCGTTGGCCGTCTTGTTGAGGTAGTAATCCCGTGAAGGAAGCCCCAGTCCCGATTGGTCAACCTGTCAGAGAGGGTTGGGGGAGGGGGGTATTCATCACGTGCTGACCCTCAAAGAACTACGGCAGACAATTGTGAAAATTCTTGCAGACTGTAACAACTGGCTTGGATCAATAAACACTGCCAGAGGTGCTATGACTAGTGAATGACACTCGCCAGGTTTCCATGGGAACATATCTTGAATGCCTTTCAATTGATCTGAGAAGGTGGTGATTCTGCCTGTACGCCACGGCTGAGCTCCGTACCTGGATGATGTTACTGTTGGAGCTTTTGGAGTCGGTGCTGACAAACACGGTGAAGAAAGGCGAGGTGCGGTAGCGAGAAGAAACTGTGCGCAAAACCTCCTGGAAGTTGTCCTTATCCCAGGAGCCTGTCAACGCCCAGCCGCCAGTCTAAAACCCACAACGTCTGCCATCAGAGATACCGACAGCTGTGATGAGAACCGGCTTCTCCACAGACTGGACCGACATCTCACCTGATTTATGAGATCCTGTAATGGCTGAGCACCCAGCGCCTCGATCTTGGCCTCGCTCATGCAAGCCTGGTAATACCTCTGGGCCTTAAGTTCTGCTTTGCTGAGCCCTTCCATGCTGGTGTTCTCTGGAGAGCACAAAAGAACCTTCAGAAGTGGTCACCTTCAACACCCCCTGACTGATAGCAGACTAAATAAAAGACGATAACAGGGGGAGGGGGAAGAGGATTCCGGATGGGCCTTGAGGGTGATCAGTAAGGGGTATGAATAACATGAGGATAGCAGTCATTGAAGGGAGGGGTTTCCGATGGAGATTTAAGCCAATTAGAATGAGACATTCAAGGAAATCTGAAGGGTGTAGAGCAGGGGTCACCAACTCCGGTCCTGGAGGGCTACTATCCAGTAGGTTTTCTATCCTACCTGGCTTCTGATGAGCCACACCTGCTCCTGGTATTTACCTGAGAACTAATATTCTAGAACACCCGCATTCTAGAGTTACCGGCAAGAGCAATAAGAGATATCCATCGGAGAGGCCACAAGCCATGACGGAAGGTACGCTGAACGTACCCAGCAGGTTCTTCATGGCGGCCATGTTGCGCTCCCAAAGGCTGCTGAAAGGGCCCCAACGAGATTTTCCATCAGGGAGGGGGTTGTTCTTCATCCATCCCCCACAGGCATAGCTGTAGAAGTCTTGACAGGGGTCCACCGAGGTGTCCAGGGCACCCAGCACCGTGCTGGCCACAGTCACACAGGCCTCGGACAGGCATAGATTGGGGTGACCTGGTCATGAAAGGGAACAGGTTGCATAGAGGAGAGTAAAGCATGCGGCTAATGCTGGTTTCTGGCTCAGCGGGGTAGACCTCTGTGTCTGTGATCAGAAGGTCGCCGGTTCGAGCCCAGCCTTGGCAGAGTGGTCACATGTCTGTGGGCCCTTGAGCAAGGCTCTTAACCCCCAGCTCCATGGGTGCCGCATGCAGGCTGACCCTGTGCTGTGACCCCCCCAAGCATCCTCTCACCTGCATGTTTGTCTCATGGGGAGCAAGATGGAGTAGGAATAACCCCATGGGGATTAATGAAGCATCAATTCATTAAAAGAAAGACAACCTGACGGTAAAAGTAAGTTATGCAGGTGACTGGTTGTGTCCCTGCCGCCAGGTGACCGCGTCATGTCATCCTGCGTTCTTTCATTCTATGATTTTAAAGCTGCTGCATGTTGGCTGACATTATGTTATGAAAGAAAATGTTTTTCAATGTCGCACTGATTAAATTAATACTTCATATATATATAAACTGGAGATGTCTCTACCCAGAGGCAATTTCTCAGAAAATTCTTGTAAAGTGGCACGAAAATTCTAAATACCAAAAGCAGCAGTGCTGTGTCATATGACCGAAAGAGCATCACGACTGCGACAGAAGCGGTTTTCATCACGTCGAATTCCGCCACCCCGTGTGGACAATTATACGCCACTGAAACACGGTCACAGCTGGAGGCAAAGTTTCAAGTTGCCAGGGGATGGAAAGTGGAATATGCTCTATCCATATTTCTAAAAAAAAAATCACAGAGCAGCCCTGCTGTGGACTTTGGCCACCTTTTCAGAAAGTCCTCAGAGCCAAAATACGAGCCCAGTGTGACCTTTCAGCTGGGGGAGGGAGGGGGGCAATGTATTAAAAATCAGTGCACATTTCAACTCTTCCGACAGGGAGCTGCTTCTCAGATGATACTCGAGTGGGTTCACCTGAGAACCGGCCTGCATTTCCATTCGTTTTAAAACATCTATTAAAGCCATTTCATCTCTACACATTTATGCCTGCGCACCTATACAACGCAAGGCAAGACCTCAGGTATAGTTTGTGGCTGGGAAGCAACTATGTCTGAGCATAAAGTGGGAATGAACTCTACAAGTATTTAACTCATGGAAACCAACCTCTTAACATTGGTGTTAACAGTGTTCACATGGCTTAGCAACACAAACCACAAGCGCGTCAAGAACTATACTAAAAAATGTGAGAGGTGATTGTGGTTTGAAAGAAACTGAGGACTATGTCATATGAACTATACTTTGACCACAAAAGAAGCCACACAAGGTTCAAACTGAGACACTGCAGTGCCAGAGTGTGGCTTATTCTGGGCCTGTCATGCAGGCACGCTGGGTTATTCATGTTAAACAGCAGGAAGTCGTCTGAGTTTCCGTCTAGAAACAAGGAAATAAAAGACGCACGAAAGGTGACCACCTCACATTTTGTTTTTGGCCCAGCACTGCGGCGTTATGACATCTCCGTGGAAGTAGAGACCCTTGAACATTTAGCAGCATAAGTCATGCGTGGGAGGGCACTTTTGCTCTTAGTCCATTTTTTTTGGACTAAAATGGCACTGTTAGTAGAATCGGGTAGTTGGGCTCACCCCTCTGGTAGTAGAAGCTGAGGGTGATGATGCACACGAAAAGGGCGAGTGTCAGCACACAGATTAGGCCCAGGAGCCTCCTCTCCGCGATGGTCCTGTCGCCCCAGCACCGGGGGCCACCGCTGCGGCGCATTATCACCTGGGGGGACAAGCATTGGGGCGGATGGGACAAAAAAAAAAGGGATGAATCATTAATGCTGCATTTTTCTACACATAAATGGAGACACTGAGTATGTGTGTGTGTGTGTGTGTGGGGGGGGGGATGTATATGATGATGAGGTCCTTGTCAGTGGACTGGAATGTCTGGTACAACACATTCTAGGTTTTACAACTTAAATATCTGACTCCACATCCCTTAAATGTTTGTCAAGTTTTATCATTTTTTTCAGCACCTCATGCTCTCACACTTTTTCACACTCGTCGCAGTTACCATGAGAAGGCGGCTTCCGGCTAAAGCACTGGAATGAATAAACAACATTAGACAAGTTCTGACATTCAACGCTTCAGCTAAAAGCCATCACACATCCGGACCGCAAGAGATACAGTGAATGAACGCCGGACGGCAGGGCACTTTGCTCAGTCATAACAAATATTTGACAAGACAAATTTTGGCTGATATCCAGTAGCAACTGTACTAGGAAGTATCTGTTATGGGTCTCTTTAATATCTTGGTTTATATGTTTCATAGACACACACATACACACACACAAACATTTTATATTTTACACACAAATAACAGACATGTTGCAGGGTCAAGTAGATTTCCATGTACAAGGCCAATGTGCGAGTGCATTTAGCACTTTAGCCAAACTCCGTCATGCAGCAAACGCATTCCTCAAGTGCTTCCGTTTAGAACCGTTTGCCAACACCAGGGATCTTGGACTCGGCGGGAAACTGTATTATACTCGACAATCTTGGACGGCGACCACAGCGCTAAGCTCCGTGTCACCCGCACCACTTCTGTGGCCAGATGTTATTAGTGTTAAATTAATAAGCACACAAGCCGGCTAATGCGCATTAAAATTAGCTCCGTGTGGCACAAGAGTCCAGAAGCCATGGTTCTTAACCCAGTTAACACAGTCAAAGACCCATGGGTGGATGGCTGGTGGGGGCTGCACAGTGGGCTGGAACCTGCTTAAGGGTGCTTCCAGCTCAGTACCGTGGCTAATCTCTGTGTGAAACCACAGTGTGAGGAACTGGGGGAGGGGGAGGGGGAGGGGGGTTCATAAATTCAAAAATACATAATTTGCAGCGGCTTCTTCGAAATTCCTCCTCGTAATTGACAGAAGCCAAAGGGAAATATTTTCGCAATAAACGAAGGATCAGTCAAACATTCCAGAGTCTGAATGCAAGAAAATGGGCAAACAGACCAATTCATTACAGCCATACAAAGGAAAAAGGGAATAATAAAAAAAACAAAGGATTCATTCAATTAAAGCAATACACACTGAGGGATGTTAAGACACATACAGAGGTGGGGGGGGGGGAATCAGAATTATCCACACAGACAATAAGACAGTGATACATAAGACTAATATTCAACACAGTACTTCATTAAAGCTTGAGACGCAAGACAAGGACAAATGTACTGGATTTTAACAGAGTGGTTATGATGTCCTCAGGGGGCATAACCATGTGATTAGGGGCGTAACGGAAAGCATCCTGAAGTGTCACAGGCAAGGCCACGAGCGACGTGACACACCACACCTGTGCATACCTTTAACGCCAGAGATGTGGCTGTAGATTCACGGAGCCGTTTGCTACCTTGATAACTCATGTGCGTGTGTGTGCGTGTGTCTGTGTCCCCACAAGGGGTTACTCGTATTTTACAGAAATCTGTGACTACAATCAAAAAACTAAAAATGCCAAATGTCTTGTATTTTATTTGATTGCTTATGGTTAATGTTAGGGCTGGGTTAAGGTTGTCATTTTTGGGTTAGGGTTAGGCCCATAGAAATGAATGGAGAGTCCCCATAAAGATATGAATGCAAACATGCATGTGTGTGTGCGTGTGTGTGTGTATATTTGCACATGCGCGTATGTATGTGTGGCAATGAGAACACACATCTTTTAGGGGGGTAACATCATACCCCACAGAGGCTGCTGCACGAGAATTTCTAATCGGCTGGCAAAACGCACCAAGACAGCCTTACAAACAGTATAAAGCTACAAGACAGATTAGCACTAAGCATGTTTAATGACACCAGCAACACCCTCGGCGCATTTCTTCTCGTATGACGGCCCAGAAAGCTCCCCGCTTCCCTGAACCCGTCCTTCGAATCCAATGAACAAAGGCCCCCTTTACATTATGGCACTGAAGTAAGTATCTCCTGGACTGTCTCTTCAGCACTTACTCAACGACAGAGACTCTGGCTTATGTCAGCCGACACAGAGTGTGGCATGATGCAATGGCCACGTCCTTCCAAGAGCTGTAACACTCAGCAGATGGCTGAGAACGTTTACACTGCTTCAATAAAACACGTGTTGCCCCCCCACCCCCCCTCCCCCAGCGCCATCTCTAAGAACGACAGGAAGTCAGCTGGAGTAGGTCAGTGGCTTTGAATGTGCTGTGACTGCTGGCCCGAGCTGCATTTACCTGCATGCTGCTCGAGGGGTAGACCTCGTCCACCGTCGAGTCGGTCAGGTCCTCCTCATCCAGCGTGGCTCTCTTGTAGGTGGACATCTGAAAGGCCAAGTGTAGAAAAGACTCTCTGAGCGTCTCCATCGCTTTTTGAGGCCTGTGCCGGCAAATGCTGAGGAAAGGGGGCGGGGGGGCCCTTAGGGTATTCTGGGAAGGGCTTCCCCCCTCTCATCCATCAGGAAGAGGGTCTTCCTACACTCCCCAACAGCTCCTCGCTCAGCCTGCAGTCTCAGGTTTCTTCACCGTTCCACCTTCTTGACCCGGATGTACACAGTCCCCACCCCCACCTCCTCCTTGTCTCCCCCACACCACAGTTAGCCCCCTGGGGCTAATCTCGCAGGCGCTGCAAGCTCCAACAACATGGGGGATGAACCAAAACAGAAAGAGCCGGCTTGTTGCGGGACTCCCTGCGTCATCTGCTCGGCAGACAGAAGCGTGAAGTCCTCTCCCCGGAGCCCAGAGAGCTCTCAGAAGACTTCCAGCTCGAGCTCCAGCCCCGGCTCGGGGAGGAGGGAAAAGTTCTGAAAAACAGGAAGGACCGTCGACGCCATTGACTTGCGTGTGTGTGCGTGTCGGTGTTTGCGCGTGTGCACGCATTCCACAGAACGGGTTTTTTAACGTCTGGGAGGAGAATTCTGGGAGTTTGGTTCCACCCACGATCTCACTCATTAGAAATTCTTGAGAGAAAGGCGGGGCCTAGAAGATAAGCCACACCCCTCAAAGCTCCCAGCAGTGCCAGAGCTTAGCGGCAGCAGTCAAGCTTCCTTCACACTCCGATTCCTCACTTGGACCAATAGAAAATACCCGGCCCAACAGCAATGAAAATATTCGGCCTATGACACACTACATTAATTAATTGTTCACAATGTCTGAGACCTGGGGCAATAGAATAGCACCATTTTGTAGTTGGGGTTACAGCAGGAAAATAATACGCATTGTTATCACACGTTGGCAATGAAATTTGACGTTTCTTAATAGCTCATGTGGTGTCATGCCAAATGGCAAGGAAAACAAACAAAAAAACAAATGATACCATGGTAATAACTATGCAAATACAAAGATGATGGCAAAACAGATGATATCTGAACAGAAATCAATCTGTTAAAATTACAGTATACATGGAAATTTGTTTTGAAATGATGAACAGCCAAAGCTGACCGTGAGCCTCATACAGCAAAGTGCAGATGAACCTGAGCATCGCAGGTGTGATTTATGATGAACTGTCTTTTCATGAAAACTTTAATTAAGAGAAATCTGCCTGTACGTCTCCCACACAATCCCAGACGGCTTCGTAAACAAGGACGCATGACGTGGGCAATGACTCTTGAGAGAATGTTTTAAAATGTTTAATTAAAATGGAATGATACTGGTGTGCCCCCCCCACACCCCCATCCCCTATCCTAACAGCAGCTTTGTCATTCCCACAGCCAAGTATCACAAACGGGAAAAATTAAAGACAAAAGGCATTCTCCCAGTCTGCCGGCAGAGAAGCTTGTTACATTCATAACTGGATTTGTTTTTTATATATATAATTGTTAAACTCCCCGCAGGAGGCTGCGCAGGGTCTTCCAACTGCGTCACTGGGCTGCGCAGGGGTACAGCTTCCTGTGCCGATTGTTCCTGGGGACACAGCTGAGTGTGAAATTCAAAGCATGTTGCAACCTTATGATCTCTGAGATGTTTTTATTTATTCAAAGTTGCTTTTTTCCCCAATGAAATGTAGCTCTGGGCAGAATTCTCCATCCCCCCCCCCCCCCCAGACAGCCTTGGCCTTCTCTCTCGAACCCCTGTCCAGTACCCCGCAGCAGGATGCTTCCCCATGGAGCAGAATGTAAATAAACATTAAACCCAGCACTGCCTGTTGCAAGGGCAGCCAAACCAACAACCGCCTGCCAAGCCCAAGGGGGTGTTGGTCTGGACATTCAGAGCCAGCAGCTCCACACCCCCCCCCCCAAACCCAAAATCCCTGTGTTGTTATCTTACACACAATGACACTTCATCAACAAAAAGGATGCCCAGGCTGTCCCTAATCACTTGTTTGCTTAACGATTAAAACTCCCCTTCCTGTGGGAAATACCAACCCCCATTAAAAAACACCCCAGAATCAGACAAACATCTAACTACGTACAGCCAATGTTATACACCTCGGTCAAAAACGGCAACATGCACAAACGTAACATTTCCAAACAGTCAGTACAATAAACTATTTCCTGCGCTTTCATATTCCTAATATTCCACACTTTCGCCTCAGTGGGGCCACTTTGGAGGCCTTGAAATTGTTCAGTCCAAAACGGGGGGGGGGAGGGGTGGATTTATTACAGGCAAAATATCTCGATTAGACAGAAACCTTGTTAACGTTAATGAAGAACATCGAGTAAAGGAGCTAGGAAAAGGGAGAGATGGAAAGAAAAACGGCTTTCAGGGAGTTGGGCTCCTTCATCTCCCAGTTTTTTCTCTTCAAAATCAAGAAGCCACCAAAAAAAAGACCCCAAGACTGTACCTAGCTGCCGTCCTGTTAAGGTGGATTAACATAATTCGGCGTGGAGCCTATGCTGAGGTTACACCGCAGCCTACGCAAGCGGCCTACGCTGTAGCAAGCATTGATACTCGTGTGTTGGTGTTAGGGATGTGTGTCTCCCTCACTGAGGTCGATTAGACATACATCTTGATGGGGTTCAATGCGATATGACGTGATGTAGAAGAATATGACACCACGCAATTCAATACGGCACGGATAGTTTGATTTTCTTTGGTTCTTCTTAAGCAGACAGCAAATCAGAAATAAACTAAAAAAGAGCCATTGTTACTTCACAAATTTGTGCCTCTAATACTGCAACTCGGTAAGTATCTCATTTACATAATTGTATGATGTGAATAAGTGATAGCTGGTGTGTCTGTCACTCTGCAATTGCACTGCCAAAACCAAGCGGACCAATTGCAGTTGTTGCAGTGTCTGTTGCAGTGCATTTCAGGGGAGGTGGGCATCGGGCTACGGTATGGAGTATGTGGGTACGCCGTGCCTACGGCGACCATTCGACACAGAAGTATACATTAGCCGTTAGGCTGCTCGCTGCACGTCAGTCATTAAATCCATCTAACTGAAGGCACCACTGAGCTGGCTGCCGATTTGGTTTGAGGCACTTTAGCAAATTGTACGTGTAACAGAGTATGGACACAGCGTCGCATGAACCTGTGGTGCTTAACGCACCTCTGTGCTAGCATGACATTGCATGTAACCTCTCAGCTGCCTTCTGAAGTCTGTCACCCAAGAATTAGACCAAAAACCGGAACGGGAAGAGAATCATCAGAAAAGGTATTTCACTTGCCTGTAACAAACCTGTTTTGTTGCTCAGTCGGGTATTGGCTGGTTTCTATTTGTTGAGCTGTGTGGCATGAACAATCTCCTTTACTGTGATGCGTGGAAAAGTAAGCAAAACCGAGAATGTTATCGACTTCCTGGAAAGTGAGTTGCCACTGCGGATGGGCGAGTCAGAGAACGGGGTAAGACGGCGGCGAGACAGGAGTGTGATCGAGACGCTTGCGGACAGCTCGAACAAACAGACTCAGACAAAACCCCCCCAAAGTGTCAAACATGGCACAGGTTCTCCATCTCACCCCACAGCATCCTGTTTTGCCTACAGCACTGCAGCAGAGATTAGAATGAAACACTTATAAGCTCTGAAACCTTCAGTTTGAGGGAAAAAAAAACTCAGATAATTATGAAAATTATTACTCTAAGACTCCTATTATTATTATTTTTTTTAATCTCAAACATCTGTTTTATATCCTTTTAATTATGGATTTTAGCATGATAATGCAAACATCTAGAAGCACCTCAGGGGGAGAGCTCAGAAAGCGGAGGGGAACAAGAAAAAAACATTATAATCTGAAACTGCAGACATGTTGTCTGTGAGAGGAGAAATACTCTTCTTTTGTTAAACCTCAGGGGTCTCGATGACGTCAGCAGCGTGGAAGCTTGCCGTTACCCCTCCTGAACGAAGATGCGTATAGGGGCGGGGGCCGCGGCCGGTGTAGGTTTCAAGGGCAGGCTGCCGGCAGGAAGCACCTTCCTTATTTCCTGTGACATCCCCAGTGTCCTTCCACAATCCGGCGCGCGTCCAACATCTGCGCGAGAGACTTCAGAACCCCCCCCCCCCATCCCCTCCCCCACCCCTTCTCACGCAGCAGGACACTGGGGGGAGCTGGACAGCCCGAGTTTCTCACAAAGTGTACAGATCCGCACTTTCCTGGCCGCACACATGCGGCGGAGAACGGTCCAGCTCCCACAGCCAGGCATGAGGTAAAACTGTAGGTGAAAGATAAGCACGTTGAGCAGCTGCGGAGAAGCAGATCAGTGCAATCAGATTATAGGTAACTCCACCCGCTGTTGTTTCTATGGGTAAAAACCAGGAGGCATGACTTTACCGCGACTGAAAAGAATACAGACTGAAAAGATAAAGATCCATTTACAAGAGCATAATAAGACTGAGAAGTACTACCATGATGAATGTTTGAAATCTGTGACTTAACAGGTCAGTTGCTTATGGGGGGGGGGGTGCATTTGGCAGTAAAGGAAAAGTTTGAGGGTTGGAAACTTTCTGCTGGACTTTCCTTCACTGCACTGATTGAAAGCGCTAATCGCAGACCGAATGGGACAGTGCCCCTCCGACCCGGTCCTGCCAGGAAGCCAACCATCCTGTTGGAGCAGAACATGCTTCCAGGAGAATGAGAAGGGAAAGGGAGGGAGGGAGAGAAGACGAGGGGGGAGCAAAACAAAACAGCCCGCAGCTGCACTTATCTGCTGGGCAGACAGAAAATTTACGGCCAGCAGACGACAGACCTTTAACTTCTAGAAAGTTACACACCCTGGTGGGGGGGGGCTCAGCCCTCGACCCCCACAGCACCCTGCTGACATTCAGGCTGATAAAGCAGAAAGAAGAAAATTAGCACATCGCATCCAGCGGATTAAAAGCAATCCACATTACACTGCAATCCACATTACACTGCAATCCACATTACACTGGCTCTGTAAAGCACAGACTACAACAATAGCATGAAACAAAGGGGGTAGGATGTGATATCCA